CACCTGTGGTCCCAGCTACTTGGGAAGCTGAGGCAGGAGACTCACTTGAGCCCAGGTGTTGGAGGTTGCTGTGAGCTGTGATGTCACAGCACTCTACCCAGGGTGACAGCCTGAGGCTCTGTCTCAAAAAAAAGAATTTTCATTAACGTAAGGAATAAGACAGAGGCATGCTACCATCACCATTAATTAGCATTATTCCAGCTAATGCAATAGTATAAGAAAAATAAGAAATTATAGGCTTGGCAGAAGGAAGAAGAAATATATCTGTAGTACTGTACTGTACTTACTGATGCCTTAAATTTATGTCATCTGTTTGCAAGATGAATTATCTGTCTGAAATCATGGGCAACTACAGCTGCAGACCTCAATCTACGTACATGTCAAGCAATTGAACTTTTTCTTATTATGTCATGACTTTCCCCTGCTTCTTGGAAGCACTCCAGCATCATTAGTGGTACTTCATATGGGTTCCATAGTGTTATTCAGGGCTTATGGTATTGTAGTAATCAGAAAAAATATGTGGGAACCTGGAGAGATGCTCCTGCGGAGGTAATTACCATCACACAGTGTTTTAAGCAGATAGATACTCAGGTACACCAACAGGAGCCTACCATAATAGCAACAGCAGATGGTTACAGATAATTACGGTAATACAGTAAGGACTACAGTTAATTTTACGTGTTTATGCTTTAATGGTGCATCTTTACATTTGTTTACATTTCTCTTTACTAAATGGTGTCACATACTGTTTGTGTAAATCCTGATAAATTTTACAATAGATTTGTGTATATTTTATGGAAGCAAATAAATGATAAAATAGATGAGTATCTACATATGTTTTATTCATTCATGATGTACCTAATTTTTTTTGACATTTCTAGGCTATGTGGTTCGTTTGTGAGTTTTTTCAAGTTGTTGCAAAGCCTCAAAAAAATTCTGTCTCTCTTTCTATATATAAATTTCTTTTTTTGAGATAGGATCTTGCTCTGTTGCCCAGGCCAGAGTGCAGTGGCATCATCATAGCACACTGCAACCTCAAAGTTGGTGAGGAACTATTCTAGATTAAAGAACTGGCCATATGCCTGGCATAGGCCTGTAATCCTAGCACTTTGAGAGCCCAAGGCAAGAGGGTTGCTTGAAGCTAGGAGTTGAAACAGCCTGAGCTACATAGTGAGCCCTCATTGCTACAGAAATTTTTGAAAATAGCTAGGTATGGTTGCACACATGTGTAGTCCCAACTATTTTGGAGGTTGAGGCAAGAGGATCACTTAAACCCAGGGGTTTGAAGTTGCAGTGAGTTAAGATGACACCATTGCATTCCAGCATAGGCAACAGAGCAAGACTCTGTGTCCCACCACCACCACCAAAAAAAAAAAAAAAAATCCACATGTAAGTGGACTCTTGGAGGTCAAACTTGGTGTTCAAGGACATGTTTGACTGTGTGTCCTGTGATATGCAAAAATAAGTTCCACATGGTAAAAGCTTTCATCCTAATAAACAAAGCTGTAAAAACATGAAAAATCCAAGAGGATAACTTTTTTAAGCTAATAGGAAAAGCCTTGTAAATTAAGGTATTGTGGCTCAGTAAGTAGAGCACCAGCCCCATATACTGAGGGTGGTGGGTTCGAACCCAGCCTGGCCAAACTGCAACAAAAAAATAGCCAGGTGTTCTGGCAGACACCTGTAGTCCCAGGTACTCGGGAGGCTGAGGCAAGAATCACCTAAGCCCAGGAGCTAGAGGTTGCTGTGAGCTGTGACACTACAGCACTCTACCAAGAGTGACAAAGTGAGACTCTGTCTCTAGAAAAAAAGTTAAACCCTAGAACCACAAAAGGGATTTTAATAAATGTAACAATACAAAAAAAAAAAAATAGCAGAATACCTTGAGAGATGATGGGGAAGTTATCCTTATTTGAAAAAAAGATACTCAGCACCTGTAGTTCTGTGGTTAGGGCACCAACCACATATACTGTGGCTGGCAGATTCGAACCCAGCCAGGCCTGCTAAACAATGACAACTACAATAAAAAAATAGCCGGGCCTTGTGTCGGGCACCTGTAGTCTCAGCCTACTTGGGAGGCTAAGGCAAGAGGATCGCTTAAGCCCAAGAGTTTGAGGTTTCTGTGAGCTGTGACACCATAGCACTCTAGCAAGGGTGACATAGTGAAACTCTATCTCAAAAAAGAAAACGAAAAAAAGATAATGTTATTCCTCCAAAACTTAATACAATTAAGATCAACAGGCTCGGCGCCTATAGCTCAACCGGCTAAGGCGCCAGCCACGTACACCTAAGGTGGCGGGTTCGAATCCCCAGCCCGGACCCGCCAAACAACAATGACGGCTGCAACCAAAAAATAGCCGGGCGTTGTGGCGGGCGCCTGTGGTCCCAGCTACTTGGGAGGCGGAGGCAGGAGACTCGCTTGAGCCCAGGAGTTGGAGGTTGCTGTGAGCTGTAATGCCACGGCACTCTACCCAGGAGGACAGCTTGAGGCTCTGTCTCAAAAAAAAAAAATAAAATAAAATAAAGATCAACAAACAAATATGGAACATTGATTAGATACAAAATAAATTCCCCCAAATCAATAACTTCTAAAAAACACTAGTAATAATGATTAGAGGTGGCAGGGATGGTCCCATTTACAATTGTTACAAACACAAGAATATCAGAAATAAAGTTTATAAAAATGATTCATTAAAATGATTCATAAAATAAAAATGATTTCATTAAAGAAAATCATTAAATTTATTAAAAGATAACAAGCAAGACCTAAATAAATGGAAGTATCTATTGTATTCCTAGGCAAGTTCAATCTTTCCTAAATACATATTTATATATAATGCAATTGAAACCTAATCCCAATGCACTTTTTTTTTTTTTTTAAAAGAGCCTCAAGCTGTCCCCCTGGGTAGTGCTGTGGCATCATAGCTCACAGCAACCTCCAACTCCTAGGCTCAAGCGAGTTTCCTGCCTCAGCCTCCCAAGTAGCTGGGACCACAGTCGCCTGCCACAACGCCCGGCTATTTTTTGGTTGCAGCCGTCATTGTTTTGGCGGGCCCGAGCTGGATTCGAACCTGCCACCTTAGGTGTATGTGGCTCACGTCTTAGCCACTTGAGCCACAGGCGCTGAACCCTTTTTTTTTTAACTGAACAAACTGATTTTGAAGTTTGTAAGGAAGAATAGATATTCCAGGAATTGACAACAGCAGCTTTGAAATAGAATGGGTAGAGGGTGAAAGTGGGGAAACTTACTCTCTGGGTATTACAACATATATACAGGTAGTGTAACAGAATAGAGAGCTCAGAATATACAGACTCACATACACACATATACATCTTATATAAGCAAAAGTTGAAGGTTGGCATTTTAATGTAAGGCAAAAGAATGGAGTATTTAATAGTGTTGCATGATTGGCTATCCATATTTGTAAATAAAAATGCCAATCTGATCTATAGAATTAAATTACAAATCTAAATGTAGGAAAGGAATTTAGTGGAATATTTGTATGATTTTGAAGTGGGAATATTTAAGATGAAAGAAAAATATGGAAACAATATGACAAATACATATAGAGTTAACTAAAGAAAAGAGTCAAAATTTTCCATTTGACAGAAGACCAAGTCAAAAGACAAATAGAGAGAATGATTGTCAGTTAGTCAAAGGGTTATGAACCCTAATGTAAGAAAGTTCATTCAGGCGAGGCTTGGTGAGCTCATGCCTGTAATCCCAGCACTCTGAGAGGCCGAGGCAGGTAGATTGCTTGAGCTCAGGAGTTTGAGACCAGCCTGAGCAAGATCGAGACCCTATCTCTACTAAAAATAAAAAAACTACGTGGGCATACTGACACATCCCTGTAATGCCAGTTACTTGGGAGGCTGAGGCAAGAGAATTGCTCAAGCAAAGAGTATGAGGATACTGTGAGCTGTGATGCCATGGCACTCTGCCCAGGTACCACAGATTGAGACACGGTCTCAAAAAAATAAAAAACAAAAGAAGAAAGAAAATTCATTCAAATTATAGGATCCCACTGAGCAAAGAATGTGAAGTCATTCATAGAAATATGCAGAAAGCCAAAAAATATGAAAGCAATGCTAAGCCTCGCAAAGTCATGTAAATTAATAAGACAATGAAATATTATTTGTTGCTCACTGCATTAGCACAAAATGCAATGAATCCGGTAAAGTGATACGGCATTGTAGCTCACAGAAACCTCAAACTCTTGGGCTCAAGCGATCCTCTTGTCTCACCCTCCCAAGTAGCTGGGACTACAGACACTTGAACCTCAAAATTCAAGAAACATTCATTGCATTCATTTTGTTGTAGTTGTCATTGCAAAAAACAATGGCAACTACAACAAAAAAATAGCTCGTGGGTGGTGCCTGTGGCTCAGTGAGTAGGGCACCAGCCCCATATACCGAGGGTGGTGGGTTTGAACCTGGCCCCAGCCAAACTGCAACAACAAAAAAAATAGCCAGGCATTGTGGCAAGCATCTGTAGTCCCAGCAACTCAGGAGGCTGAGGCCAGAGAATTGCCTAAGCCCAAGAGCTGGAGGTTGCTGTGAGGTGTGACACCATGGCACTCTACCCAGGGTGACAAAATTAAGACTGTCTCTAAAAAATAAATAGCTGGGTGTTGTAGCAGGTGCCTGTAGTCCTAGTTGCTTGGGAGGCTGAGGCAAGAGAATTGCTTAAGCCCAAGAGTTTGAGGTTGTTGTGAGCTATGATGCCACGGCACTCTACTGAGGGTGACACACTCAGACTCTGTCTCAAAAAATAATAATACATAGATAATAACTCTTAAAATTTATAAACATTTTCTGGCACCCTCTGTATGTATAGTTGGAACAAACAAACTGCTAGGCTGAGTGCAGGGGTTCATGCCTGTAATCAGAGCACTCACAGAGGCAAAGATGGGTGGATTGCCTGAGCTCAGGAGTTCGAGACCAGGCAGAGCAAGTGTGAGACCCCCATCTCTAAAAATAGCCAGATGTTGTGGCGAGTACCTGTAGTCCCAGCTACTTGGGAGGGTCAGGCAAGGGGATCGCTTGAGCTCAAGAGTTTGAGGTTTCTGTGAGCTACAATGCCGCATCACTCTACCACTTTACCAAGGGTGACAACAACGAAATGAGACTGTCTCAAAAAAGAAAGAAAATGGCTCGGCGCCTATAGCTCAACCAGCTAAGGCGCCAGCCACGTACACCTAAGGTGGCGGGTTCGAATCCCCAGCCTGGACCCGCCAAACAACAATGACGGCTGCAACCAAAAAATAGCCAGGCGTTGTGGCGGGCGCCTGTGGTCCCACCTACTTGGGAGGCGGAGGCAAGAGACTCGCTTGAGCCCAGGAGTTGGAGGTTGCTGTGAGCTGTAATGCCACAGCCCTCTACCCAGGGGGACAGCTTGAGGCTCTGTCTCAAAAAAAAAAAAGAAAGAAAAAAGAAACTGCTTAGAAGGCTTGTAGTGGTTCACAGTAGAACCACGTGATTGGAGCAGGGGAAGGAGCAGTTCCCCAGGAGAAGCTGCTGAACCAAAACAGGAGCTAGAGTCATTCTGAAGCCATCATGACTGTGTGTGCATTATGTTTATGATTTTAGTTACCTCTGACTTTTGAGGATGTTGCCATTTATTTCTCGGAGCAAGAGTGGCAGAATCTAGAGGCATGGCAGAAGGAACTTTACAAACATGTCATGAGAACCAATTATGAGATGCTCATCTCTCTAGGTAAGACGTGTTCACCTTTGTGGGTAAGTCATTGAACTGGAACTGCTCTCAGTCACTTGATGCTTTGGGGGTTTTAGTTACTTTTCTTTTTTAACTCATGTTTTCATCATATCCCTGTGATTATGCATACTCTTTGTCATACAACTACATGGACCCAAATGCATACATGCAAAGCAATTCCAGTCAAAGTTGCAATAGACTTTTTCATGGAATTTGATAAACTGATCTAAAGAACATGGAAGAACAAAGATAAGGACAACCAAGACAAATGTTTGGAACAAGATAGAAAGTGATTGTCCTATCAGACAGTAAGACTTATATGATGTGGTACACATACTATATCAGGGACAAAAAACATTTAATAGCACCGCATGTTGTCAAAATGTGGAGCAAAGTGGATGCTCCTACTCTGTTAATGAGATTGTCAATTAGCATAGCCACTATGGGGAGGAACTGGGTAGCATACAGTAGGTTGAAGACGTGCCTACCCGGTGATAGAGCAGTTCAGCTTGAGGACTGTCAGTGCTTCTATGTATAGTCAAACAGGCATACCAGTGAACAGAAGAAAGAGAAGACAGATAGGAAATATTCTTATAATCAAACTATCAAATGAACTCAAATGTTTCAAAATGGAGAAATTTTGAAAACGTAATTCATGAAAGGAAAAGCAAATAGCAATATAATATATGGTTTATGTTTAAAACCAGCATTATTTTATTTATTTATAGGTATGAATTTTTTATTTCTTTCTTTTTTTTTTTTTTTAAATAGAGTCTCACTTTGCTACCCTCAGTAGAGTGCTATGGCATCACAGCTCAGAGCAACCTCCAGCTCTTGGGCTTAGGCAATTCTTTTGCCTTAGCCTCTCGAGTAGCTGGGACTACAGGCACCCACCACAACGCCTGCCTGTTTTTTGTTGCAGTTTGGCGGGGGCTGGGCTTGAACAGGCCACCCTTTATATATGTATAAATTTAAAAAGAAAAACACACATAGGAATGATAAACATCAGATTCAGGGTAGTGCTTCATCTTTGGAGAGGGAGATATAGGAGCTGAAACTGTAGTGTCTCATATGTTTAAAAAAACTTGAAGTATGTTGATATGGTAAGATTTGACAAAGTTAGTTGGCACTGGTTTCGTATATTTTTCTCTATGTACTAAAAATATATATTTGAGACAGAGTCTTACTATGGGGCCCACAGTAGAGTGCTATCATGTCACAGCTCACAGCAACCTCAAACTCTTGGGTTTAAGAGATTCTCTTGCCTCAGCCTCCCAACTAGCGGGGACTATAGGCACATACCACAACGCCCGGCTATTTGTTGTTGTTGTTGTCGTCCTTGTTGTTTGGCAGGCCTGGGTGGGTTTGAACCCACAAGCCCTGGTGTATGTGTCCTGAACCCTAGCTACTGAGCTACTGGCACTGAGCCTAAATATATTTTTAATAAATTAAAGCATTACTTCTTAAAATCGTTTTTAACTGAATTTTTGCTTGAGCCAACTTGATTTAAAATTGAACCCCTAAGATTTGTCTGTTATTAAGTTATTATTAAAAATAATTAAGCATTGGGCAGTACCTGTGGTTCAAGGAGTAGGGCACCAGCCCCATATACCGGAGGTGACGGGTTCAAGCATGGCCCCAGCCAAAAAAAAAAAAAAAAACCTGCAAAAATAATTAAGCATTTACCATGTTGTTTTTGGACAAAATATGATATTGCTAGATGTTTGGGGGCCATGACATAATTTAAACACAAGTGGCCTAACAGATCCAATTAAGTTAGGAAGCAATGGTATCACTTAGGGGCAGTTTTGCTCTTTTTTGTATAAACTTACAGGCTTTTTTGGATGTATATTCTCTTACATTGTCCCAGGAGTGAATTTTGAGAAATTTAGAAATAACTTATGAGGTCTGACAATTAAGTTTGTGAACTTGTCGTAGCAAAAGTGCTACATACCTCGATGCTGAATATCACTATGGTCACCTTTGACGTACTGCCCTTGGGAAGCTGTGTACTAATGCCAAGGTGTAGTCCACCCTTCAAAGCAATTTTGGAACTCTTTCTGGAATGACCATCAAAGCTTTCATTGTACAGAACACAGAAACACCAACAACAATAAGGAACGCCATTCAGCAAGACACTTTACACATCAACAGGAACACAGCTGTGAGACACTGATATACCAACATTATGAAACCTTACTGAGCTATTTGTACAATGCTACCAATGTAAGCTAATGGTGGCATATTCATAAACTTAATTGTCAGACCTTGTAGAGTGCTAAAGGAAACCAAAACTATCTTGTCTGACTTCTCTGCACAGATGATGGACTTCCCAAACCAGAACTAATATGCTGGATTGAACAGGAAAGAGAGCCCTTCAGGAATTTGAAACAATCACAGACATTGGAAAACATAATTCGTTCCTCTGCTGACTTGCATTTTGATCCAGTTAATGAGAGACAGCTGTTTGGGGGTAAGTATTTAGAAATCAGGACCCTGACCTTAAGATATCAGATTCAGGCTCGGCATCTGTAGCTCAGTGGCTAGGGCGCCAGCCACATACACTGGCGGGTTCAAACCCAGCCCAGGCCAACAATGACAACTACAA